TATTCTGTGTTACGAATATTGTCCTCTTTCCGACACTTCGAAGGTTTATTACAATATATGACAACCACCTATATTCAACCAGAAGTCTTCTGCGAATTCTAAATTTGTATCCTTGGAGTGAATGTTATTTTGGAACGTCCAATTGGTCCGAGTGAGCTAACTGATTCTTTAGCTAAAAACTGTGAACAAACTCACTGGCAACAGATAAGAGGAAAAAGAATTAATTAGCGTATGCGAAAAGGACTAAACCCTCGCAAGACTACTGAGGAACTACAGCACGCAAGGTACTGCTTGCTGAAATACCTTTAAGTGACAGGACTATACAATGATCTCACCACGTGTAGACTGCATGGAAGAGGAATGGACCTCAAACCATATAATCTTAGAATACAAAGCTCTTGTCAGGCACTAATTCACCCTCTTCGGTCTATACCCAACTAGCACATAACGTTGCCAAGCCTTTCGGCAATGTTGTTTTAAGGGAAAGTAATAACATTACCATACAACGTAATTGCAACGTTCATGAGAAGTTGTTGAGGGAAATCAGAACCTCTCGAAACGTCTATTTGTTACTTACGTATTTAACCTGCCTGATATGATAACACAACGTAATAAAGTAATTTGCTAAAAAGTATCCACGAGAAGTACTGTGAACATCATCTTGTTTTCGAACGTAGCCATTCGTTTGTTATAAGTCAACAAAACATGAAAAATGTCACTTGTCATTTGAGAATTTTAAGAAATTGTAATTTGTAAACTATTAAACTATTTATACGTTTGAATAAGTTTGGTAAGTTCTTCTATTCTTTTCTATAAAATAGAAACATATTTTCTAATTTATTGTCTGTTGTTTTAGATTGCAATATTTTAGTTTCCAACTACAATAAAAAATAAATCATTGTAAAGGAGAAGATATAAATAAATGACTGCCTATATTTTACACGATAATAGGGATCTTATTGATGCCTCAAACTATAGAAGTAACGATATTAAACAATGAAAGTATCGATATTTAGGCACTAATACTGAATTACCAATACTATCTCCATATCGATACTTAGAAGCAAGTATCGTATCGCTATGTGTGTGGTCAGGGATAATAGGGTTTGTTCAAATATGCGTGTAAACCGTAATATTTACGGTACAAATCATACGCTCAACTTAAAAATTGCATACAGCGCATGATTTGTACCGAAATATTTAAGTTTTCGCATGTGGTGGAACTTGGAACAGACCTTAATATGATTAAGCGTTACCACTGTTTTTTTGTTATTTAATTATAAGGTAAATTGCCAGTTATTGAAACTATAACTTATACCAGTACCAGGTAGAGTACCAGTAGAGAAAGAAAAAGGTGTCAACAACTTCAACTACAGAATATACTTTACTGATGCAACTCTTATTTTTAGTTAAGTTCCCCACTTCGCCCTGTTGAATGGGGGTTGTCAGTCGTTTAAACAAAATCTTTTACTTCTTCGATACTTTGTTACTCGATACTTATAAATATTGATATCTTTAACATAATATCGAACAGTATCGATGCCTCTACCACAAAGTATCTCACATGATACCGGTATTGATACCTTCGACCCTACTCCAAACTATAAAAATACAAAAACAGAGAAGTCATATAGTGCCATCTTAGCAAGAGAGGTCCTATCCTAAAATTTGTTGCTTTGAAATAATCGAGTTTTTAACTATTTTTAGCAGATATATTTATTACCTTTTAAACCTTTTTTGTGTAACCTTTGATGTAAATAAGACATTTCGTTTTGGTATCAAGAAAGATAAAATACAGACAAATGCACATAAATTTAAAAAACTGCTAATTTTGCAGATAGAACATTTCTTGCTAGGACGGCAGTATAGAAGTGCTCATGTAGTTCACTAACGATAACATTTAAATTTGTTACGTTTCAGTAAATTAAGTATTATCATTGCTGGACAGTAGTGACATTTTGGTGGATAAATATAGCATTTCACTGGACATATACCTATGCCGTTTTGCTGTACGTTTGCTGCACAATACCAATTGCTGGAAAAACTTTATAAAAATGCTTTACAATATAGCAAAATTGCTGTAAGTATAGTCGCCCTAGTGTAATATTTTAGTCACAAAAATAAATTTTAAAAATATTGTGTTTTAGGTTTTCTTTGTGCTGGATTATAATTCTAGTAAAAATCTCAGGAATTTTAGAAGCTAAAGTTAATAATACAGAATTGGTTGAAGAAATATATAACATCTGAAATTATTTCTTTTTCTTTCATAGCAGAATATCATACTAAAAAACATTGTTCTGTATAAATAAATGTAATAATTTATTTAAAAAAACAAAGTAAGTAAAAAATCAACTAAAAATAGATGCAACGAGCATATTTTTCATTTTCTTTATACATATTATTTTCTTTAATAATAATTAAACAAGTAAATTTATTATCTGCAAAGTTATTTTTACGGAAGAAACTGTATAATTAAGTTCACATATTTGTCTATTTATTTATTTGTTTACAGTACGCTACAGATACATAAAGTTCTAAATGGTACATTTAAAATATCAATTAAAATAAAAATAAAAAGAAATTAATAAAATTGTCAGAGTATAAAAATGAAGTCAATAGTGTAATGAAAGTTGACGCTTTAAAAAAAATAAACCTATTAATATGTCATAATTTAAAAAATATTGTAAATGGATATCAGTCGGTCTACAAATAAATTCTGTCCATAGTTAGTTCTATGAGTGTTTACATAAAATAGTTTAATCTGCCTAGTAAGTCTGGCAGGAACAAGGAATCTAATAAAATGTACCAGGCTGTCGCTATCAATCAAACCGTTCAATAACTTATACAGGAAAACAAGCGATGCTTCTCGACGTCTGCATTCCAAACTCTTAAGTCCGCACAACATAATTCTGGTTTGGTAATCTATATTTTGCGATGGAAGCCTGTGTTTATATAGTAGATACTTCGAAAATTTATTTTGCACTTTCTAATTTACCAATATGACAATTGTAATTAGGTGCCCAAATCACTGAGCAGTATTCTAAAATGCTTCTAAGCAGAGCTGCCGTGTCAAATGTGCTTGGTGTTCCTTTTGACAAAGCCCAGCAGTCGAAAAGCTCTATTTACAATTTCTTCAAAATGAGGAATAAACGATAGGTCCCTGTCAAAAATAACACCAAGATCATTTATAGTTTGCTCAAACACTTAGTTCAGAACCTGCAATGACATAATCATGCATAATGATATTAGCTGTTTTATTAAACCTTATGGCTCTACATTTATCGATATTCAGTTTAAGTGAGTTATATCGTATTTAAACTATGAATAGTACCAGTTGTAGGCAAATGTCTTTTTATAGCATCGTACAACTGCCATCTTAATAAAAATCTAGTGACCTTTGAAATATACCTTATATAAATACACTTTTTACTACTTTTGTACAATCCTTCACCATTTTAGCTACTAGTAAACCTTATTATACTCTTTCGTTCAAGCGTTCAGTGTTTTCGATTCTAGTGAACCTTTGAGATATTCCTTATATATACCCTTTATACCTACTTTTGTCCAATTTGTCAGTGTTTTATGGTATCACACATGTGAAATTGTGTTACCTATATTATTAATACCTACCTCTACTTGTATGATATTGGTACTTGATTTCAAAAGCTTTTTAATAATAAATTTATACAATTTTTTATTTTGTTTTCTTCAAATTTTACTGTATCCTCAAAATACTATTTTACATATAGTGTATCCAAGGATGAACATAACTTTACTTGTAAAGATATTTATTTTAAATTTTTCAAAAGAGGTATTTTTCATAATTTTTTAACGTTAATCGTATTTATTTAATAAGCAAAAGAAATTATGAAGAAGTACTTTTAAATTTAAAATAAATATTTTTACAAGTATTGTTAAGTCCATCCGTGGACACTGTACAATGCTGTAGAACAGATTCACATTATAACATCTATAAAACGTTTCAGAGTAACTTTCGGGGAAAGTACCGTAAAAGTGCTTGTGTAATGTTTTCCAAACTTCACTTTGTAACCTCTACGAGATGTGCTATAAAAGTCTTGCCGTTCCGGACATTCGGAGGTTGCATGGATATTAGGGTTACATTAAAAGTACATCACATGCGAGCTTAAAGAGCCTAAAATTGCAGCTTATTAACGTAGATGGGATGTTTTTGTGCTAGCTGGGTAACTGGAAAGAACGCCCCAGGAACACTTGGTAAGGAACTTATTAAAACTAACCCAAGGCACAGTACTATTCTGATATAGTAGCTGAATACGAAGACAGCAAGGGAATAAAGTTAATTTAAGAGTTCGCATGTTCTAGGCAAAACCTAACCCTATATACCTGCTTATAAACGACAAATGTAAAAATAAAAGACTAATAAATTAGCAACCAGTTTCGGCCCTGTATTAGTCCTAAAAGTAAAAGAAAACCCATAACAGTGAAAATTTAGAAAGTTTCTTCTCGCGTGCATTAACTAATCTATCATCGATGGGTTTTTGAAGTGATCATAACTTAGTTGTAGTTTTTCTTAAGACGTTTGTCCCGGTAATGTATAGGCCAGTCAGTTGCCCATTTTAAAACCCTCTTTATACTGACTGGTTAAGCTTTTGCCAAATATAAAGATTTATAGAAATTCATAAAATACCATGTATCTGGACAATGAGATATGCTGGATTCATTAATAATGGAAGATTTCGAATCATCTAATTATCCCATACCAATAGTTAACCTGTAGGTATATAATGTGTTAAACAGCTTGCAAAGCAAAATAAAGATGAGACACTAAATTATAGTTAGACGTGAGAAAATAAAGAGAGTAGCTTTTAACTCGTCTATCTGCCGGTTATGATTGGAGACGGTTACACCTCTTCCAATAGTGGGAGAGTTTAGGAGTGGTTAACATATATAATTGATAAAATAGACAATGGGATATATTATCATTAAGTTTAAAAATACATACTGTCATGCTATAAGTAGTATATTATATAATATCTAAATATTTAATATAATGGGGAGAAAAAAAACTAATTTTAACGAAATTAACCTGGATATACCCCTGAGTCATTAGGGTCAATGCATCGTCCATCTGGAAAACAAATCACTGATTTTAAATGTTTATTTTTATCCACTACCTTCAATTTGTCTACAAATATGTTATATATTTTTTTGGTATCTTGAAGATCAAAGTCCCACTCCTGCAACAAAAATAAAATAATTATTCTTTTTTTTTTATCAAGTAATTTAAACGTTAAGTAAAAAAGAACAACTTTTTTTCCTAAAATTAGTAATAAAAAAATACGTGTGTCAATCGGGGACTGTCGCGGTAAAGCTATTGCATAGCATTTTTTATCAACTTATGCAATTATAATTATTTATTTTATTTATGCAGTATTTTTTTTTTTTGATATTAATTCAAGTTTTTTCTTTGATATTAATTCAAGTTACACTTTTTGAGCGTGGTGACCGATAAGAAAACAATTTTTTTCTTTTATTGAATAAATGAGAAGTTAATATTGTTTAAAATATTTTTATTATCTTACAATACATGTAGGTTATTCAGGAATTTTTATCATTGAAACTATAGGTTTATGGTAACTGAAATAAGAAGAATAAGTTTGAGACTTGATATCCTCTAAATATCTGGAAAATACCGCGTCAATGGTGGTCCCATATTTTGTTGTGGATTCTTGTGGATCATTATTCATTTTCAATTTCAATTTTTTATAAATCGTGTCTAATAGAAATAGAATCAGTTATGAGCAGTTAGCAGCTAGTCTACACGCATACGTCTAATCGCACGCACACAAACACCGTGCCGAAGTCTGCCGAACTGAAACGACGTTAGATGATGCACGGCTTTCAACGCCGCACCGCTGTGCCGGTCGGAGTGGGGGGTGTAAGGTTTATTTTCGTTACGGAATATCTTTTTCGATTTTTCGATTTTTGTCCTAGCCATGTAGTATATACAACAAGAAAACAACATAAGGTACCTCCAAAAGGGATTAGGCTTTTTTCATCTCCTATCAGCAAGCCTCAAAATGCCAACCCTCTGGGGAAACTACACAACTCACCGATGACTAGTTTTATACCTTCACAATGGCAACAATTCATCCCAAGGCCACAACCGTTACTACAATTCAAAGCTCTACAGTTCCAACAACAACAACAACAACAACAACAACAACAACAACAACAACAACAACAACAACAACAACAACAACAACAACAACAACAACAACAACAACAACAACAACAACAACAACAACAAAAATAACAACAACAACTTGACTATACGGAAGCACAAGGGAAGAAGAAAATCTAAAGTACGAAATTAAACATTTTCCCAAAATTCCAAGAAGAAACACAGAGACATAGTCCCGAAATTTCATAAAAATGTTATCCAGACAACGTCAAACGTTAATCGTTTATCGTTACTTTCATCTTTCAGAACCATTCCCAAAGTTATTACGCTAAAATTCCAATATTTCCAGAATTCAAAAATTCCTTAATGCCCACGTTAACCTCCCAAAGTCAAAACTTCCCATTCTCTACTAAAAGAGTAATAAAACCCAATTATTCTACCAAGGCAAAAAGTGTAAGGAGCCGTTCTAAGAGAAAGCCTTACTACGGCTTGCGATCAAATAGACTGGATAGAATTTTTCAGCGACAATGATGAACAAATCCAAAAATCCCTAATTGAAAAAATTATGGAAATCAACCCTCAAAAATACCATTTGTACACGTCTGATATACTACCACAAATATAACAGTAAATAGACATTAAGAAACTCTGTAGAATATTCTCTTCATCCTGGTGCTTCACTTACACAATAAAACATCATATCCGAAATATAGATGTGGCTTTTCTCTATACGAAATCTATAGATATCCGCATATCCACAATGAGGAAGTAAGGAAACAGATATCATCTATGCTGGATCAAGAAATCATCAGACCTAGCCAATCTCGATGGTCTTCGCCAATCTGAGTTGTTTATCAAAAACTCGACACCTCAGGAAAGATCAAATGGCGTATCATCGTCGATTAGAGAAAGATTAACGAAAAAACCATTGACGATAAATATCCGATCCCGACTATAACAGATATCCTAAACAAATTTAAACGATATCAGTATTTCTCAACTCTTGATCTAGTGATCGAATTTTACCAAATTGAAATGGTGAACTTTCAGCGACTTATGAATAACATTCTAAGAGGTCTTAAAGGAGAAATATGCCTGGTATACATGGACGATATAATAGTCTTTTCCACTTCACTACATGAACACATGGCAAACCTTTCGGGGATATTCCAACGACTACGAGAAACTGGGTTAGTCCAAGTAGATAAATGTAAATTCTTGAAGAAACAAGTTGGCTTCTTAGGACATGTCATTACTCTAGATAGAATAAAACCCAATCCAAACAAAATAAACCATAGTAAACTATCCCGTATTAAAAACAATAAAATACATTAAAGGCTTCCTAGGATTGATGGGATAGTTACTATAGAACATTTATACGGTACATATACGGATACAGACACAGATACAGAGCTATAAAAGAGAATAGATACAAATCCCTCGTGTCACTTGTCAAAGCAGATATTTAATCAAAACAAAAAATATATATATATTTTTAAATTGAACAATATATTCCGCTATATAGGCAATAATAAATTTGGAAAATTCTGACAGAGGATCTGGCAAATAATTCATAGTTTTATTCGTTAGGAAATCTTAAATTAAAACATTTGTTAAATGGTCTTTGTTAGTTAAAATATTTAACAGTTTCGTATACGGTTTCCTACCTGTTATATGAACAAAATTAAACACTTCCAGAGTATAAAATGGAATATCTAAACTATTATAAAATAGAAAACCGTAAGTATTTGATGTAATTACCGTAAAATGTGTTAAGCCAGAAACTATTTAAATAAGCAAAATATAAAAATAAATTTTTCAAATACTACCCTGTTTATTGTTATAATTTGGTATACTAACCCATGGAATGTTATTCCTGTTGATTTATTTTTATCAATTGCATTTCTGCTATTGCAGTTACTAAGAGCACATGAAACAATTATTGTATTTTACTATATTATTTAAATATCACACAAAAAGAAAATAAAAGCGCGAAAACTTGATCTTACAAATCACATTAATGAAATCACAACAATGTGACAGAGCTATTTGACGTAAGTGTCGCATCAGTATGGTGGACTGATGCCGTTTTTGGCCACATAAAAATGTTCAGTAGCAAATAAGTGGTAATTGAATCAAAGAAATAAATGGATAGGTGTACAATAAGAAGAAAAATTACCTTTATTTTTTGTAATATTAACAGTAATACTGGAAATACTAGGCATCAGAAACTTGAAAGGTTTTAAGTAAACAATAAATTGTCATTTTACTATGTCGTTCTTCAACATTCCTTTATTCTTAAATGTTTATTCAGCAAGGACTACATTTCAAGATTTCTACCTTTGATAATTGTATGTGACTGGAATCATTGAGTAAGGAAATTATACTCCTTTACTCAATGCTGGAATGCAATTTTGTAACTTACTGATAGAAAACCAGTTTTAATCATTCATTCTTTGTTTTCGTTTGAACAAAATATAAATAACAATTCTTTTGTTTATACTTTACGCTATTATTTAAAGGTATTTTTTTATTTTGACAGAATAGAGTAATTCTTCAAAGACAACTTATTAGAATTAGGCAACTTCTCATACATTTTCCCGTAAATACTGTTGTATGCCTATATTTTATTATTGATTTTATTGATTATACCTAATTTTTTTAATTTAAGCGATAAAAATATGTAATAATAATAATAATAATAATAATAATAAATTAATGTTTTTCTTGTTTTACAAATCCATATACTTTTATTAAAACTAACATATATACTTTTTAATTACGAATTCTATTAAAAATTGTATTTGTCAGTATACGCAGAAATAGTCCATTAGTACCTAAAATGAATTGGCGCTGCTGTCACGCACGGAGCGAATAACGGTCTCTGGAGTTCAGGAATGGTTAACATATTGCATAATTGATAAAATAGACAATGGGATAACTTATTATTTTAATTAGATATTAAGTGTAAAAATACATACTGTCATACTATAAGTATATTACATAATATTTAAATATTTAATGAAATGGGGAGAAAAAAACTAATTTTAACGAAATTAAAGTGGATATATTCCTGAGTCATCAGTGTCAATGCATTCTCCATTTGGAAAGCAAATCGTTGCTTTTAAAGGTTGATTTTTGTCTACTTTCATTTTATTTATAAATATGTTGTATATTTTTTTGGTATCTTGAGGATCAACTTCCCACTTCTGCAACAAAAATAAAATAATTTTACTACTTTTTACATCAAGTAATTATAAAGGATAGGTTAAACTTACAAAAAAGAATAATAACATAAGAAAATAATTTAATTTTTTTTAATCTGGCGTACTGTTATAATATTGGATTTGCTTCGTGTAGAACTACACTGCATATGCTTCAATTCTAAAACAAAGATAGCGCTGTTGCCGTTAGATTGCTCTCAATGTAGGGCTGTGCCAGACAGAAAAAATTATGTACAGTATTAGTAGTAAAGAGTGATCTAAAGTAGGCTTTGTGGTTATTTGAATCACTTTTTATAAAAGTAATATATGAATATATAACGAACAATATAGAGGAGCCGCAAGTGGCAGGTTCTAAAACCTAAGCATCAAATAAGCTGTGATTCTCATAGCAGCAAAAGAAATTGCCAGAAATAATATCACTGGAAGGAACATGCCCATCTATACAGCAAACAAGCATTAGGTACTCACCTTGATCAGACCAAAAATGTACTCACAATTAGTACTATAACTAGTAAGTAATGTCGCTGTCCGTTGAAGTGTCTTGTCCTACCAGACGACTGAGCTGTACGTTACCATGGGTTTTACCATAGTTTGATAAATCCAGTAAATCAGTTGAGGACTGATTCCACATGTATTGCCGCATATCCTTCTGATAGTCCAGAGATATAATCTGACCTTTTTGATGTTTTTTTGCCAATTGGGGACTTTAAGTGAGTTTCTTATCCACGATAATTCTTCTCCGCAAAAGGAATGGTTTCCCCGGCCAAGATAGGTTGTCAAGGCTTGTCGAGTTTTCTACTCTTGGTGAGCGCAATTTTTATATATTCCA